CCTCCTTCCTGTGTATAGCGCCAGGCCCCTTCACACCTTGTGATGGGCATGATGTATGTTTGGTCTGCGTTGCAACATTGATTGGGCTAGTCATTAGTATTCTAGCATTCTGCTTTGCTATCTGAATCTTCCAGTCCCGGTCAGGTGAGGACTTTTATCTAAATCTTCCACTGCGCTATAAAACACCATTTTGTATGTATCGGAATGCACATTGCTTGTTGAGATTCCAGTTGCACTGCATTGTCCATTCAGTCCTTTTTATCACATTGAGGATCGTTGGTTTACATGTACATCGCCCAACCGGGCATTTAACAACGTTCGAAGTCGAAGTGGGCTGAAGGAGACAGTTAGCCATAGTTAGTGAGTTACAGCGGGCATAACCGCCATAGCGGATAGGCGAGTGTGTTAGTAATAGTGTGTGTGAGTGTGTATCCAGGGTGATCCGGAGTTGAGTGAGTGTGAGCAGTGGTGTTGGACAGAGAGGCGAGTGTTGAGTGTACAGGCGCTGATGGGTCATAGCCTGTTAAAGCGAGCTTGTATCTGAACTGTGTTTTCGACGTCCATATCTCTGAGCTTTGAGTGGGCGTCGTGCGCCAGTGTGTCTCACCATCTGTTTGCATGAGTGTAAAGTGGTAAAGAAAGCTAGACTCCCACACCACATGAGCCTTTGGCAGAGGTTGTAGGCCAGTGCCTAGTTAGCTGTCCAGAGACTGCATGTGTTAGAGTCTCTCTCTCTAGGCACCTCCCTCTTAGGTTTGGCAGAAGAGTTGAAAGAGAGGATGCCGGCCTGGGCCAAGATGAAGAAGCAGAGTAAGGGACAACTGCTGTTGGTAGATTTAGAAGTTTTTAGAATCAGACTAGGGGCCCTTATAGACACAGGGGCTACCCGCAGTTATATTAGCCGTAGAGCGCTAAAGAAGCTGAGGCTAGGTTTGAAAGTCCCGAAGTTGAAAGACCCCATAGTTAGTATCCTCGCAGACAACCGCACGATGCGAGTTGAGGATTACGTCGAGGGAGTCCAAGCGTATCTTCGCCTAGAGAAGGATGGCAAGGTAGAGAAAGTGCTCCATTCCCTGACTCTCCTCGTAGAGGATAACCTCTTATTCGATATAGTCCTAGGTATGGACTGGGGAGAGGCAGCAGGGGGAACACTCCATTTGAGAGAGCATGAGTGTAGGCTCCCTAGTCCATCAGACGAAGTTAAGACTGCCCGCCTGTTTCATGTGTGAGGACTCAGGAGTAGATAACTCCCTGGCACATTATTGCCTTAGTGCTCCCGCGTTCGCGCGATTAGTTAAAAAGGAGCAATTAGAAGAACAGGTCTTCGTAGCCTACATGAGGCCTGTCACTGAGCCTACTGAAGAGAAGCCAATAGACCCAGCTATTGCCAAGCTGCTGGAAGAGTTTAAGGATTTGACAGAGCCGCTGAGAGGAGTAGTGTCGCGGCCAATCCAGCATCGTATAGAGATAGAGCCTGGCAGTAGGACTCCTAAGGGTGCGGTCTACAAGATGTCCCCAAGGGAGTTAGAGGAGTTGCGTAAGCAACTAGACGAACTCCTCGAAAAGGGTTGGATTAGCCCCAGTTCGTCTCCTTTCAGAGCACCCGTTTTGTTTGTCCCCAAAAAGGAGGGGGGGAGTTGCGTATGTGCATCGACTACAGGGGTATGAACGCCATTATAGTGAAGAACGCCGAACCGCTGCCCAGGATAGACGATCTCTTAGATCGGGTGCAGGGCTGTAGGTATTTCTCAAAGATAGATTTGAAGTCCGGATATCATCAGATAGAAGTTCACCCTGACGACTAGTATAAGACAGCTTTCCGGACTAGATATGGGCATTATGAGTTCATCGTGATGCCCTTTGGACTGACCAATGCGCCAACCACATTTCAGCGTTGTATGAATGATGTGTTTAGGCCTTAGTTAGATAGGTTTGTTGTAGTCTACCTAGATGATATATTGGTTTTCGGTAAGACCCTCCAAGAGCATCAGGGTCATTTGAGGCAAGTCTTGGAGAAGTTGAGAGAGACTAACTTCAAGATCAATGCCAAGAAGTGTGAGTGGGCCAAGACACAAGTCTTGTACTTGGGCCACGTCGTAGACGGAGATGGCATCAAGCCTGAGGATAGAAGATAGTGGCGATTAGAGATTGGCCGACGCCCCGCACGATGACAGAGTTGCGGTCGTTCTTAGGCCTAGCTAACTAGTACAAGAAGTTCGTGAGGAATTTTTCCTCCATCATCGCTCCCCTTCTCAGGTTGCTGGAACTGGGACAAAGACTGTACATCCGCTCTTAAGAAGTTAAAGCGAGCGTTGATAGAGTACTCTGTCCTCAAGATGGCAGATCCGTCCTTGCAATTTGTCGTCACCACAGACGCAAGTCAATATGGTATAGGCGACGTGTTGCAACAGGACGACGGCAATGGCTATAGACCCGTAGAGTTTATGTCAGCCAGGATGCCTTCAGAGAAAGTAGCTACCTCGACTTACGAGAGAGAACTTTACGGTCTCAGGCAGACCTTAGAACACTGGAAGCATTATCTGCTTAGGAGGCACTTCAAAGTTTATTCATACCACGGGACTCTTCGATGGCTGAAAACGCAGGCCAAGATGACACCTAAGCTAACTAGGTGGGCCGTTGAGATAGACCAATATGACTTTGAGCTCAAACCGGTCAAAGGCACGTTTAACGCAATTGCGGATGCTCTAAGTAGGAGGTTAGATTACTTTGGAGCTATAGTTCACTACCTAGATATAGGGAGAGACCTGCAAGAGAAAGGAAGAGAGGCGTATACGCAGGACCCGTGACCTCCTCAAGAAAGTTAAGGAGGCCCCAGAGACTGAACCACATTACCGCACTACAAAGGGATTACTGTTCGAGAAGACCGATGTAATAGATCGTTCGTGCGTTCCTAATAATGAAGAGATCCGTAGTTTGATCCTAGGGGAATGCCACGACACAGAGGGACATTTCGGTTGGCAAAAGACTCTAGCCAATCTGATGCAAGCGTATACTTGGCCAGGAATGAAAGACGACTGCATAGAGTATGTTCGCAGTTGCAAAGTCTGTCAGAGGAATAAGACAACTACGCGTGCCCCTCTAGGTCTTCTTCAACCCTTGCCTATACCTGATCAGCCTGGCGATTCAGAATCCATTGATTTCATGGATGCGGGCGTCAAAAGCATGCATGGCAAGAGCCAAGTCATGGTAATAGCAGATATATTTAGCAAATATGTTGTTTTTGTTCCCTTACCTGCAGAAGCCCGTACATAGTTAGTCATTCAAAAGTTTTTTGACTTTTGGGTTAGTGATCACGAGATCCCATTCCATAGTTAGCAATAGGGATACCCGGTTTACAAGTCAGAACTGGCAGGAGTTAATGAGAGTATACGGGTCAAGGTTGCTAATGTCGTTTGGCCATCACCCAGAGACTAATGGTCAGACTGAGCAGATAAATAAGATCCTGCAGCAAGTTTTGTGCATGTACATTAGACCAGATCAAGTCAATTGGGACGAGATGTTGCCCAAGGTAGCCAGTGCATATAACAATAGCGTGCACTTAGCCACTTGTCGTACTCCCAATGAGCTGCATAAGTCCTTCAGACCACGCAGACCGTTTGAAGGACTTAACCAGGACCATATTCATAGGCTACCGCCCGATGCTAGGGAGTTTGTGATACAGCACGAGAAGGAGTTAGCTACCGTTGTTGAGAACCTCATGAAGGCCCAACACCGAATGATAGAGCAGGCTAACAAGCACCGTTGCCCGTCAAAGTTTCAAGTAGGCGACCTAGTTCGGGTGAAGTCCAAAGAGTTTGCTCCTGAGGAAAACATTTCGCAGAAGTTACTACCAGCATACAGGGAACCATGGCCAGTTCTAGAGGTTAAGGGCGGAGAGGATGGGTCGTCCTATACAATAGAGATTCCAGCACACCTCCACACCTACCCTGTGTCCATGCGTCAGAGTTGTTGTCGTGTGTCACAAGTCCGCAGTTTCCATCAAGAAGATCCATGATCCCTCCGGACATGGATGGAAGATATGACATTTAGGGCATTGTAGGTGAAGGCGTATTCAAAACAGGAGGTAGAGGTCGTCCACAGAAACAATATAAGGTCCGATTTGCTTACTAGGAACCCGAGGACGACCGCTGGTTTACTAGAACTGAACTTCTAGAAAATGCTCCCGATGTAGTTAGAGCCTACGAGAGAGAAAGGAAAGGTAAAAATCAGGTCTTGGGCTGAATTATTCTCGGAGGACCTCAAATTTAGGCCGATGGGAGTGAAACGGTATTCACCTGTTAGCAGAAGCGAATGCAGATCTCAGGGCTCGATCCCTAGTTCTTACCTTACCTATGTACAGTACCTGTGTCGACCCCGAGAGTTGAACCCGTGACCCGTGTATTCGCAACAGTTGGTAGGCTGTCGTAGGTCTGTAGGTGGTAGGGGTTCGATCTGTAGACCTGGCGAGCAGAGGTCTTAGCAAGTTCTAGAAGTCGTAGTTGTAGTCCTTCTGAAAGGTCAAGTTCGTAGTTGCTACAGTCCTAAGAGGTCAAGGTCATAGCTGCTACAGTGTTCAAAAGGCCAAGCCCACAGACTTCCGGAAGGTCCGAAAGTGGCCTTTTGAAGTTATCTCATGTTTGGACAGAGGAAAGTGGGCAAGTGGTGAGCCGAACTGCGTTATGTCGGGAGTGCGACTGCATTAAGTTGGTAGTGCAAAACCATGCAGTCAGCGGTACCGGTCCCAGTCGAGTCCAGTCAAGCAAGTACCATGTGGGACTGTGTACACCAAGGGCATGGGAAAGGGGCAGACTAACGAGTTACAAAAGTATAAATCAAGAGGCAGCGCCAAGCTATTCATTCATTCCTGCGTAAACCATGCGGAAGCGCTGTCTGAGCAACTTGTGCGAGGTGGTCTGCAGAGCGCCCGAAGACGAAGTGGGCTGAAGGAGACAGTTAGCCATAGCTAGTGAGGGATAACGGCCATAGCCGCCATAACAGATAGGCGAGTGTGTTAATAATTAGTGTGTGTGAGTGTGTATGCGTGTGGGATATCTAGGGTGATCCGGAGTCGAGTGAGTGTGAGCAGTGGTGTTGGACAGAGAGGCGTGAGTTGGAGTGTACAGGCGCTGATGCGCCATAGCCTGTTGAAGCGAGCTTGTACCTGAACTGTGTTTTCGACTTCCATATCTCTGAGCTTTGAGTGGGCGCTGTGCGCCAGTGTGTCTCACCATCTGTTTGCATGAGTGTGAAGTGGAAAAGAAAGCGAGTCTGACTGCATTCCAGCCCCTGTCTACAAATTGGACATGACATGTCACGGTGCCATACACGAGTACAATACTGACTGTCATTGTATGTATAGAAGCAAAAACTCGCATGGACTATACCTTCATAATCCTCACGGCACAAGGCATGTGAACCACGTGCTAGTTGAATCTCCGGCGGATCATCACAAAACGGCATGGAGCATCTTTATTGGGCTTCCTCGGTATGCATTCCTTCGCTATCGGCAGACTACGACAGCGAGGATCGGTCCAACGCAAGGGCATTCAGCTGCTGCAGGATATGATCCGCAACAGCTCGCCCTGGTGGTGATAAACTATGAGCACATCGCTCTGCCGGTAGTTCACATAGAAGTCTATTTTCCTCCTTGGACTGCTGTGTTCGTCGTTCGTCTGGCATGAAAAAGGGAGATCCGTCAGCGGTTGTCGTAGGTGTATGACCAATACCGCATGTGGGACATGCTAGGAGAGGATGTGGAGGGTGATGGCATCGGGGATAGTCCACGCAGTAAACACACATACTTTCTAAGACAGCTTCCTGGAAGCATTGACGACACATGACATGTTGCTGACATGTCATTAGCATGGAAGGCTGACGTGCACAGTTATTTAAGCATGGCAGATCAAGGCCACAACGACATGCTGGGCAAGTAATCAGGNGCTGACATGTCATTAGCATGGAAGGCTGACGTGCACAGTTATTTAAGCATGGCAGATCAAGGCCACAACGACATGCTGGGCAAGTAATCAGGGGGTGGGGGGGGGGTGAGCACAGGACTGGGGATCACAATTTCCGTGTGAGAGGCTAGCAGCGACCATCCCTTCATAGTGTTCGGAGCAGAGGCTATGTCGTGTACATGCCAACCGAACTGTACTTATGCGACGACACAACGGGAGGGCACAGCCATCATCCTGTGGAGAGGTCCTTTCACTGTTTGTGGTAGAATCAGCAGGATTGCTCTCCGGGGGGTGCACTGATTGCAAATGCTCATCGACATACTGTTCCTGATGGATGAGCCAGACTGAGTGACCCTCCAGGATTTGGGGATAGAAAGAGTTAATATTTCCCACTGTGTGCACCCTACCGCTATTGCCCCATAGGGTCCATGAACTATCTGCAAAGGTAAGAGCACTAAAGTGACCTGGACGATATAAGATACATGCCCACATATTCGGATCCGTGCCTGGCTCGTGGTTTTGCAGAGCAGGCTGGAATTGCCGTCGCCTACCCATAAATGCCATAGCCAGGACTTCTATGTTCACCCCAGGCGCAGCGCTGTCGTCCTCTGGGCAGACGGCACGGTGCTCTTCTTCTATCCAGCGAACAACGTCTGCGAAATCAGCAACAGTATAAGGATTACAATTGTAAGCAAGGAGACATACAATTAATGGCATAGTACGCATAACGCCCTCGCTGTAGCGCTATGACATCGTCTGATTCCGCAGGTTAAGTGGGGGATCCATTTACGGGAGGGGGATCCTCGTTCGATTCTGCAGGTTGCCCAGGTGGCGGAGACTCGTTGTGGTGTTGACCAATTGGCTCCTGCTCCAGAGAGAGATGATCTTCAACCGGGGACTCCGTCAGGTAATCAGGCGACAGGCCACTGTCATTTGGGGCAGGGGAGCGAGTGGGGCTAGGTGGATGAGAGAGGGGCGGGTCAGGTGGGTGAGAACTGCATGGACCAGAATCACCAGATGTGGGAATCGGAAGCTGATCAGCCTCACTTGTGCTTAGGGCGGCTGCTAGTCGTGCAATCGCTGCACAAGTTGCTGCACCTCGTGTCTGGTGCACTCGTAAGCCTGCAGCACTGAAGAAATCATCGCCACATTGCGGGCATCGGACTCGATGTGCACTATTCCTCGCAAGTGTATACTGAAAGCGACGATGTCGTTCTGTACAGTTGCGAGCATGTCATCGGAGCAGATCTCTAACCCCTGCAGGGGGCGCGGTGATCATGCCATTCAACGACAAACGAGGCCGCTGTCTTGGAGGCTGTTGTGGAGACGGGGAACGTCTACGCCGAAGAGGCATCTGTAACGATCGATCTAACAACGGATACCTCGGCCAACAGGGCCTTTGTGACGACCGATCTGACCATGAGTGCGTTGATGAGGAGGAGGTCGATGATGAGGAAGTAGAGGAAAAAGTAGGGGAAGAGGAAGAAGAAGATGATGCAGATGACTGAGAGGATGCTGGCGGTGATGATGGTGGTGGTGCTGCTGATAATGATGGCAGTGATGGGGGTGGTGGTAGTGGTGGTGGTGGTGGTGGTGGTGGTGCCGGGGGTGGTGGTGGTGGTGGTGGTGGTGGAGGCGGCGGTGACAGCAGTGGCAGAGGAGGAGGTGGTGTACCTTCAGCAGCAGCAGCAACAACAACAGTCATTGTATTGGTAGGATGCTGGCCTCCATCCCTTACTGCCATCTCGGTAAGGTTTACATTGTTTACCACGGCCGGCATGATCTCTAGCTGAGTTGGCGTATCAACATTAGTGTCTGCCATTTCAGCACGGATAACGGGGGGGGCCGGACGGTCTGCATTTGATTGTGCGGAGGGCTGATGCTGGCTCTGTGTGTTTGTGTGTGTGTGTGTGTGTGTGTGTGTGTGTGTGTGTGTGTGTGTGTGTGTG